AAATTGATTTCATTCATTTGACAGTCCAGTCATGGTGCGGAAGTTTGATAGTGGAGTCATGGTCGTACAAAACAAGTCTAATAGTGATGAGGAGGTGATTCTTTCATCTTAAGACTCTTTCTTGTTTATGGATGTAACTCTGTGGTCATTTTTTAAAATTTTCAATTTATTTGATGATGGGAAGCATTATAAATAAAATTGACTGATTTGCATCTTCAAATTGCATTTATATTCAAATGATGGAAATAGCTCTTTGCATTCTATTTGGTTTCAAACGTTAGAGTTTTTTCTTCCTAGATTTTGGTTCTTCGATAGATGTACTGATGGCCAAAGATGGAAATCATATACGAATCTTTATGCTTTGGATGATGGGCTGAGTGCGATTTTATTGGTGGCAATTGTAAATGTGAAGCCTCTTTCACCCCATAATAGAGGAGGTCTCTTGCAATGTTCTCAATTCTCTTTGTAGCACCAAATGGATTCTAGCTGAAAAATAATAAAGAGAAATACTAGATCAAGATTTTAATGGAAGCAGAGTTTGAGAGAGATAAAATGAGAGGTTCTTCTCTTCTTTCTTGCTTTCTTAAAACAGAGAGGGTGAGGTGCCATTTATAGGTACTCATTGCCCTGATGTCACACCAAAAGTGAGTGTGAGAGAAAAATAGAAAAAAAAAGCAACAAACATAACTAATTTCTGGTGATGGTGGTGGTGGTGGTGGTGGACATTCCATCTGTCCATAAAGAGTAAATACTAAACTACCCTTATTCTAACATTTTCTACACTCCTCCTCAATCTATGTTACATATATATATATATTGAGTAATTCTAGATTGAATACAATGTTATTAAATTTTTCTGTTGGTAGTGCCTTTGTAAGGATATCAGCAGTCTGAAGATCAGTAGAAACATAATGTAGGATAATAATCTTGTCTTCTATCTTCTCTTTAATGAAATGACAATTAATCTCCACATGCTTGGTTCTATCATGATGCACTGGATCTTTGGCCATACTGATGGTTGATTGATTGTCACACTAGAGTTTCATAGGATTAGGAATACAAAATCTTAGTTTAGATATAATCTTCTTCAGCCATACACCTTCACATATTCCATGAGCAAAAGACCTCAATTCAGCTTCAACACTACTTCTATATACAATTGACTGTTTCTTAATTCGCCAAGTGGCTAGGTTGCTCCACACATATGTACAGTAGCCAGTTGTTGATCTTCTATCAGTCACTGATCCTGCCCAGTCAGTATCAGTGAAGATCTTAATGTCTCTATTTATTATTTTCTGGAAGAACAATCCTTGATTAGGGGTCATCTTTAATCACCTAAGAATCCAATAAACGACACTCATATGTTCTTCAGTTAGTTCAACCATAAACTGACTTACAGTACTCACAGCAAAACTAATATCAGGTCTGGTATAAGTAAGATAGATAAGTTTGCCAATAAATCTCTGGTATTTTTCTTTATCAATAGGTTTGCTATCATTTTTTAGACTGATTTTGACATTAGACTCCATCGGTGTTCCTACAGGTTTACAACCAAGTATACTTGTTTCCTTTAAAAGATATAAGACATATTTGCGTTGTGAAACAGAGATACCTTTCTTAAATCGGTTTACTTCCATCCCAAGAAAGTATCAAAGTAACCCAAGGTCTTTGATCTCGAATTCTTTGCCTAGAAACTTTTTGAGTTTCAGAATTTCTTCATCATTATTATCTGTTAAGATAATGTCATCAACATGTAAAATTAGGATAGATTTCTTCCCCATGGCACTGCTTTTGGCAAAAAATGTGTAATCAGACTGACATTGAATGTATCACATATGTTTCACTGCCCTTGAGAATCTCTCAAACCATGCCCTCGGAGACTGTTTAAGACCGTAAAGAGACTTTTTAAATCTACATACCTTCTTAGACCCGATGCTAAGTCCAGAAGGGACTTCCATGTAAATTTCTTCTTCTAGATTTCCATTGAGGAAAACATTCTTTACATCCAGTTGATGAAGAAGCCAATCAAGGTTTGAGGCTAAGGAGAATATAACCCGTATTGTGTTATGTTTAGCAATTGGGGCAAAAGTTTCCTGATAGTCAATTCCATATGAGTGAGTGAAGCCTTTGGCAACAAGACGAGCTTTATGACGGCTCACAGTTCCATCAAAATTATACTTTGTGGTGAAGATTCATTTGTACCCTACAAGCTTTTTTCCTGAAGGTAGAGCAGATAGTTCCCATATCTCATTCTTCTCAAGCGTTGTGATCTCTTCTTGGATTGCGGCTTTCTATTCTGGGAACTCAAGTGCTTCATGAACAGTTCTTGGGACAATGTTGTTATCGAGCTTACTAACAAGTGCATTGTATGTTGGAGACAATTTGTCATATGATACATAATTCTATATGGGATGCATGGTGCAAGACCGGACACTTTTTCTCAAAACAATAGGAAGTTCAGCATTAGTGTCAATATTAACCAATGAGTCAGAAATTTTATTATTTGTAGTATTATGAGTGTTTGGTACAGGAGTTGACTCATGAATTTGCGTGGTTGATTCAGGAATTCTAATATTTTGAGTTTTATTTCTCCTTATATAGACTCGTAGCATCCTTTTTGCAGGTAATGCGCCATCAATATCTATGTCATTAGTATCTGTAGTGGGTTCCGGTTTTTCTATGGTTTCCTGGATATGAATATTTTAGGAAGATGTCAACGGAATTTGAGGTGGAAGAGGACTTGTATCCTACAACTAATATTCTTGAGTGAAATTCTCCCCAGAAAATATTAGTTGTAGGATAAAATGGTTGATTCTCAAAAAAGGTTGCATCTATAGTATTGTAAAAACAATGAGTACCTGGAAAAAAACATTTGCATCCTTTTTAATTTGAGAAATGACCAACAAACACACATTTAAGAGCCATTGGATCAAGTTTCTCCCTGAGGTGAGTGTGAATGTAAGCATAAGCGGTGCAGCCAAATATTTTCAATGGGATAATGTTTAAAACATGAGATTTTGGAAATGCCCGAGTGGGCATTCAATTGATCAAGTAGGTAGCGGTAAGAATGGCTTCACCCCACAAAAATTTAGGAACATGGGTTGTAAACATCAATGGGATAGTGTTTAAAACATGAGGATTTGGAAATGCCTGAAGAAGAGTTTTATAAGGAGTTTTGAATTTTAGTATTCAAGTGGGCATTCGATTGATCAAGTAGGTAGCGGTAAGAATGGCTTCACCCCACAAAAATTTAGGAACATGGATTGTAAACATCAATGATCTGACAACTTCAAGAATGTGTCTATTTTTTCTTTCAGTTATGCTATTTTGTTGTGGGGTGTATACACAAGAGTTTTGATGGAGGATACCTTGATTATTAAGATATTATCGTAGGGTTGGTTCAAAGTATTCACATGCATTATCAGTTTTCAATACTTGTATTGTGGTGTGAAACTGGCTTTGAATCATAATATTAAATCTTTGAAATATTTAGTTCACTTCAGACTTTTCTCTCATGAAAAAGACCTAAGTAATTCTAGTACGGTTATCAATAAAAGTACAAATTATTTTTTCCCAATAATAGTTTTGACTCGTGAAGGTCCCCAAACATTACTATGGATTAGAGCAAATGGTTGTGTGGGTTTATATGGTATACTAGGAAAAGAATTGCGAGTGTATTTTGAAAATTGGCACACTTCACATTGAAATGAAAGTGGATTTTTATTATTGAATAAAGTAGGAAATAAGTACAAAAAGTTTGGATGGCCTAATCGATAATACCATAACATAATTGTGTGATCATCGATTGAACAATCTATAGAAATCGAATTAACACATATAACATT